CTCTTCCCACCGTGACTTGGGACTTGCCCTAGCGTCTCCCTTTCAGGATGGCCGCCGTCCGCCTGGCTGAGGCAATTTGTTTCCTAGTACTGCCAAGGCTGAGTTGTATGCAGTGTACAAAGCCTGTGCTCCCTGTTGGTCTGGACTGGGGCTTGGTTAGCTCGTGAGCCGTCTCTACAGTGCTTATCACATCTGCCTTGATTCTAAAGATTTTGTCTGGATGCATTCACAGACCTCATGTAATGGTGTCCTCTCTGGATTGCTCCGCAGATTCTCAGTGAGCCACCACTACTGGTACACTGAACCACCCGGGGGCCATCTGCCCGACCGCTCCCGACCACGGCAGCGGGGCCCTCGATGGCAGTGGGCACCTCCCCTTGAAACCTGCCAAGCTGGACTCCACAGACCTGCACGACGACACCTCGGCCAGCTCCGCGCCCACCTCTGAGGCTTGCAGCCATGCAGTCCTAGCCTGCAGCCCGGGCATCCCCGAAGAGTACTACGTGAGCGAGGCTGCGGAAGATGCTCCCAGCTACAGAGGGTACCGGGATGCCTGCACCATCACCGGTACGCTGGGGCGGGAGGAGGGGCTTCTGTCATCAAGCCTGGGAAAGGGATGCAGCTCCAGGAACAGGTCTGGGAGTGTGTTGGTAACTATTCTGGTTGCTGTAACAGTAACTGACCAAAGCCGCTGGGGAGGGAAGGTTTGTTTTGACTCACAGTTTTAAGGATGCAGTCCACAGCGGTTCGGAAAGCTTAGATCAGAATTGTGAGGTAGCTGGTCATTTTGCATCCACAGTTGGTAGGGAGAGAAATGAATATCTGTGTTTAGTTCATCACTTTTTTCCTTTTTATCGGACCAGGATCCCAGTTCATGGGGTAGCGCTGCCCACATTCAGGTTTGGTTTTCCCACCTGAGTTAACCCCGTTGAGAAACCCCTGGCAGACTAACCAGAAGGTTGTCTCCTGGGTGACTCTGGAGTCTGCCAAGATGACAGTATGAACCAACCATTGCAGGGAGGCTTGGGCCGCCTGTCACAGAACTGTTACAGAGGCTGAGGGCACACGCACAGCCATTGTGGGTGCTCAGGGTAGTCGGGCCCTGTACTCTCCTCTCTGACTCTGCTTCTCCAGACATGCGTGGGTGTAATGGTGGCACGCACTGCCATTGCTGGATACAGAAGGGGCTCCACACTCTGTGTGTGCCTTGGTGCTCGCTCACACTGTCAGTGGAGTGTTTTCCAGGGTCCCAGGAGCAGGGAGCCCACTGAGGATGTCAGAGTGTGGATACTTTGTACTCTAGCTCCACACCCAGGAAACTGTGAGATAGGTCTTGGGGCCAGCTCCCCGACAAGGTCGAGAATGGACGTGGTCCCGTGGTGTGCACACAGCAAGCGACACTCTCATGGGAGGCTTGTCCTGGCTTTCATTTTGTCTTGTCTTGCTTTTTGCCCCCCTCCTCCACTTTCAAATAATGTCCAGGTTTCTTCATGTGTACACGCTAGCTTCCGGTAGATTCCTCTGCCCTAGGTTATCAGCTGAGTTACACACAGAACCTCCTGTGTGTTAGGAGTTGCCTGGCTCCTGAGGGGCACAAAGACCCCTGCAGCTTCTCGGTGCTTGTGTGTGCTCCACCTCGGTCCTGGGCTTCTGCACTCCTCTCCGGCCCCTCTGGTGTGGCACCTATGCTGCCCCCCCCCCGTGCCCCTAATCCCCCTCTCACTGTCTGCTCCCTGCAGGACACAGTGCCAGAAGCACCCCATGTGACACAATCCATCTCTCTCCTCAGTGCAAGAGCATGCTGGGAACTCCTTGGGAGAATCCCAATGAGACCTACAGGCCCATGCTCTTGTCTCTACAGGGCAGCTCAACTAGCTTACTCCAGTTCCTGTGAGAGCTAACTCTCGGAGGGAGGGGGGTTCACTCTATGAAGCTTCCGGAGGTTCCTTACCTTGCCTCTAAAGGCCACAAATAGGATTCCCCCTTGACTCCTTTGGTCCATCTGCTTCGTGTGTTCCCCACATGGGCCTCCTTGTGGGATCTCCTTTCAAGTCCTTGAGCGTAGTGGGGAGTGTTGTCCAGCTCTGAGCCCTGATTGCGTCCTGAGTGGGAAAGTGGCGTCTGGAGGAGCCCTGGGGTCCCTGCTCTTTAACACCCAGGAAGGGAAGCTGGCTGGGGAGACAGAGGGTCAGGAAGAAGTTGGCAGTACAGTTGGTACAGGGCACATGGGAGGACATTGAGTATCGTCCGCTCCATGCTTCGGAAGGAAAAAGATGAGGGAGACCAGAACACTTCCAAACACCCGAGCTGATTCCAGCGCTGACTCCGCCGTCAGAATCCTGGGAACTTCAGCCTGTCCAACCAGTTTCGTGTTCTTGAAGCGTGACGGCTGAGGGCAAAGAAATGGCAGAGAGAGATTACGGAGCTTCCAGCCCCATGGGATGTGGAAACCCGAGGTCCTTTGTTGGAATGCCTGTAGCGAGCCCCAGGGGACAACTGAGAGCCACAGTTCATGCCCGTGATGCCCAGCAGTGGCCCCATACATAGCGTGCCAATTCAGGCACCACGGTGCATTTGAGGAGCCGGGCACTCAGCCCCTGCCGTCCCTCCCTGCCAAATGAACGTCCTATCAAGCGGTCAGTGCAACAAAGACATAAAATACAAACGCATTCCCCGGAGACCTTGGATATGCCTGAGAGCGTTTTGCAGATTCTGAGGGCTTTGCCAAGCACAGCCCCGGGACACTGCCTGGCATCGTGCCTCCACCCTCGCTTCCCAGGGAGTCCTGAGAAGAACAGGGGCTTTCTGTTCTCCTCCACATTTTAGGCAAAACTGGCCGCCCGTCACCGTCACCCCACCCTGGAGGTGTTGCGCTGTGGGTGCGCCCTTTTCTGTTTGGGGTGGTTTTATAAGGGGAGGTGATAGAGTGCCTGGGCTGCTGGAGTTACGTAACAACCACCGCGCGTTCTGGGCAGTGCAGGATCTTCTGCTCTGCCCCAACAAGCAAACTCAGAAAACTGCTGAGGAGGGCACAGAGCTGTGGCCAAGCTTGCATGGAGGACCGCTCTTTCTCTGAGTCCTCTTTGGAGTTTGCGTCTGCCCATGGCATTGGCCTTTCAGCTCAGGCAGCCCTCCAGGGCCCAGCCTCTGCCAGGACTCTGCCACAAACTGGCTGGGACAAACTCATGTGGTAAGTGTGTGTATGTGCGTGTCCACTATAAATTTGCTTTGTGGCGTGGCCAGAAGAGAGGAAAGAGCAGGGGGACATGGCTTCACCCTTGCTCTGAGCTGTTAGTCAGGTGCTGTTGGCTTGAGGGATCACCAGGTTAAATGGTGGGCCAGTGGAGAGGAGGGGTTCCGGAAGCTACCTGTTCCCTCACCCCCTTTACTGTGTTCAAGGGAGACTGGCAATTCGAGCCAGGTGCAAGATGCAGGCCGTGTCTTTACTGGCCAGTAGGGTCTGTGCTATATCTGCCACCCTCTTCCTCCTTCTCCTCTTCCTCTCCCTCCTCCTTCTCTTCCTCTTTTTTTTGGGGGGGGGGCAGAGTTTCTCTGTGTAGTCCTGGAACTCACTCTGTAGACCAGGCTGGTTTCAAACTTGAGAAGATCCACCTGCCTCTCCCTCCCAGGTGCTGGGATTAAAGGCTGCACCACCAGTGCTGGCTTCCTCCTCTTTGCTCACGACTCGGAATCGTGTGTTCTAGACTGTGCTCTGCCACGGCTCCGTCCGAGCCCACCCTCCCGTTTCTAAGCTGTTTAATTTCCTGATAGAGACTCATAACACTCTTAGGCTGACCTTGAACTCACAGTAGCTCAAGCAGGCCCTGAATTTACATTACCCTGCCTCAGCCTCTACATTTCAGCAGTTTCTTAGAGCCCGGGCTCATGTCCTAGGTCATCACAGGATTTTTCAAATGTGAAGAACAGAGCCACTGAGCATTCTCCCCTCCTTCCCCCACATTCTTGTGTCTTCTCTACTGGAAGCTTGGCCCTGTGATTGTGGTCCCCACACCCCTGACAGAGCTTTAGGCTGGCCTGCTCTGGCTTGTTGCTTGCTGCGGCTTCTCACTTCCTGAATGGATCAGACTCAAGTCTGACAACAGGATGACCCATCGTGTTTCCTACCCCCACTCCAAATCCTACTGAATTCTAGGAAGGTGTGACCTCTTCTTGTCCCTTACCAACAGTTTCAAGTTTGTAGATCTTTAAATCATATTAAGCCTGGTGACCTATTAAAGGCCACACAGTCTTACTGATGCCAATACATGGAACCCTCAGATGCTTAGGACAAGCTTCTTACTGGGATGTCTGTTAATTTCTGGGGTTTCTCAGTAAGAAATGGTCCTGCTCACAGCCCAGAGGTGAGCATGGCTCTGTGTGTGAGAGCTTCTGGCATCTGTTCTGCCTGAAGGAGAGCACGCTTGGTCTGGGAGATGGCTTAGTCAGGAAAGGGCTTGCCATGCAGGCACCAGGGCGTGAGTTCGCTCCCTAGAACCCACATAAAAAACCAGATGTGATGGTGCATGCGTGTGTTCTCAGCACTGGGGAAGTAGAGACAGGAGTATCCCTGGGGCTTGCTGGCCAGCTCATCTAAATCAATTGGTGAGCCCCAGGCCAATGAGAGGCCCTGTCTCAAAAGCCAGCATGGGGAACAAAAGACACAAGCTGACATCTGGCCACATGGGAACATGTACATACATGTATGTATACACATGAACACATTAAAACAAAACAAAACAAAAGCCACAATCTGGGCCCCTACCCCGAAGCAGACACATAAGGAATTTGTCCCTTGTCACCAAACGTGGCATCTTCCCCCCTCAGACTCACTCAGGTAAAACATCATGGCCTTCCTGCACAGGTTGTTGATTGAGCTTGGGTACTGCTTAGTAATTCCAGAAGTTTAATTTTAATGCTTCCCTTTGAAAAGTTGTCATCTAAACGATACTTCCGTGGCCATGAATGAGAGGAAAGAATGGATAGTGGGATCTCTTGGGGACTCAACGAGAAGTCACAACCTTAGAATGGGGTGGGGTGGGGGGGTTTCTAAAGTCGTAAATTAGGCACCGTTTCTGCCCTTTCCCTTCGTGGATTGCCCTGGCCTAGCGGCGGTCAGGTTCTGCAGATGGAACAGATGACAGAAATCTCTCTGTGAGTCTCGTGCTGATTTCTGGATCTTTGCAAAGACTGGATACTGCTGTTCCAGGGCCACTGCCTCCTGTTCTGTCCCTCGGATGATGGACAAGGCACTGGCCACACAGGGTTTTTAATATAAAGACAATTTTTGATTTACATTTTTGTATTTCTGCATATATGTGTGTGAGCGCAGAGGCCAGGCTGCGGGGGTCCCGGCCTGCTGGGTCAGTTCTCGTCAGCCTGTGTGGGTCCCGGGGATTGAACTCAGGGAGTCAGTTCTCGTCAGCCTGTGTGGGTCCCGGGGATTGAACTCAGGGAGTCAGTTCTCGCCAGCCCCGTGTGGGTCCCGGGGATTGAACTCAGGGAGTCAGTTCTCGTCAGCCTGTGTGGGTCCCAGGGATTGAACTCGGGCTGTCAGGTTTGCAGCAGACACCTTCGTGCTCTGAGCCTGCTAGGTGACCCCAGATCAAATCCTTGACCTGTAACTAGGGCTGTAGCTCTCAGGTGCTCTTCATATTTGTATCTGCCTCCCAGCTGGTGTCAGTTCCTGGAGACAGGCTTCAATATAGTCAGTGACCTCATTAGCGTACCACCTGTTACAGCCTTCACCCACCTCCAGCCATCTGGGGAGACAAGCAAGCAAGAAGTTATAATGGAGGAGGGAAATTAAACTGAGAGTCGGGTGAGCCTGGACTTCAGCCCTGGCACCTGGTTCTTTCTGCTCCGCTGGGGTGTGCTGTTGGGGGCCTGTGCCTGGGATGGTGGGGTGGCGGGGTGAGGGGTGGGACAGGGCGGTGGGGCAGAGGGAGATCAGGGTGCACCATGTCACAGGCGTGGGTGGCCCAGAGCAAGAGCAGGGAGACACTCCGTGTTTCTCTGTTGGAGCCTCAGAAGTCACTGGGTCACCTTCATATCCCAGTGACTCATGGGCCGGCCGAGGTGCAGTGTGGCTGGTGATGGGCATCACTCAGGCAGGCCAGGGTCACCAGGGCCTGCAGTCATCAGTCATACAGCGTGTCTCACATCCTCTCCGTACACAGATGAAGAGACTGAGGTGCAGAGAGTGTGAGCAAAGACGCACAGGTTCCTGGTGAAGCCCGGCTTTCGTCTGGGCCGGCTGCCTCGGGCTCTACTGTCTTCTCTACCCTGAGTGACCATGGGAAGAAGGTCGTGATGCATAGTGACCCCGTGCAGACGCACACAGAGCCCCAGGGGACCACAGGCCTCCCTTTACCAGCCACCGGGAGTCCCTGGATAACAAGGAGAGCCGCTTTCCCACCTCCTTGTCGTTGGATACTTTGGGCGTTCTCTTCAGTCTCTACAGTAACGTAGTAGACCATCCACTTCCACTGTAGCCAGTCTCTACGGAAATGGAGACCTGCTGCTTCTGCCATAGCCAGTCCCACTTTCTAGAGCTTGCCCTGAGGTACTTCACATAAAAAAGTGTGGAAAAGCAGAAAAAGGTTACAGCTAGGATTGAGTTCCCACCACAGCAGATATGTGACCCTCGAGCCCAGCGGTTCTCAACCTCTGGGTCACAGCCCCTTTGGCAAACCTCTGTCTCCAGAACTATTTACATTATGATTATTATGCCTGCATGTCTACCTGTGGGCCAGAAGAGAGCATCAGTTCTCACCGTAGAAGGTTGTGAGCCACCCTGTGGCTGGGGGAACTGAACTTGTGACCTCTGAAAGAGCAGCCAGTGCTCTTAACTTCTGAGCCATCTCTCCAGCCCATTATATTATGTTAATAACATAACAAAATTATGAAGTATCAACTAAAGTAATTTTATGGTTGGGATCCCCACAGCATGAGGAGCTGTGTTCAAAGGTCGCAGCGTTGGGAAGGTTGAGAACCACTGCTGTCGTCCCCTTTTCTCAGGACACCTCGTCACCTGTGCCTTGTTGTCTTTCCTGCTTGCGCTTGTCCCTGTTGGAGAGCATTTCCCACAAGCAAAGTCACGGCACAGTCTTTGTCAGTAGCCGGTTCTCGCTGTCTCCAGAGCCACCACTGACATCACTAGTTCCCCTCCATAGGCTGTGGTACTTCCGGCTTCACACATCCGTTCTCCAGTGCTGGGGAGATCCCTGCTTCCACCCAGCAATGTCCCTGCTGTCGAGCGGGACTGCCTGGAGTCGGACGTGAGTTTTGGTGGACTTCGACAGCATAGTCTTTTCTGTGTTGTGATCGTTCTGCCTCTAGCTCGCACAGTGGCTCCCTTCAGTTTTGTGATGGCGCACAACCCCTCTCCTTCTTTACTGTTGGCTTGTCGACCTGCTGAAGGCATTGAGTGAGCTCACATATACTCACACATACTGACTAGGAAGTGAGCTCAC